CCCAAACAACAAAAATCCAACAGAGAGAATCATCCCCCGCGAACTCCATCTGGCGAGGGCACTGCCCCGCCTCCCCCCCCTTTTGGCTTTGTCTCCCCCACATCCACGGCCACACAACCACCAACTCCTCCCTCTGCACACCTCCACCCCATCACCCTCCTCCTCCTCCCCTCCTCCTCCACCACCACCACATTCGCGCTCGCTCCTTTATCACTTGACAAGCGCTCACAGGGGGGTAGCTTCCTTTCCCGACGGCAACACTTACACGGGAGAGTTCGCAGCTCGGAGGAGCGAGGCGGAGGTGCCTGGGGGGGTGGCAGAGGGGAGAGGCTGTCTGCAGTTCTTCTGGGGAGATGTATACGAGGGGGAGCTGGTGGGAGGGAGGCCGGAGGGGAAGGGGAGGATGAGCTATCCTGACGGGGGGTACGTGGAGGGGCACTGGAAGGAAGGGGCTCCCAGTGGAGTGAACCAGGGGAGGAAGAGGATGATGCTTGGGGAGTACGAGGGTGGGATGCAGGAGGGGATCCCCCAGGGCTGGGGCACGTTCGTGTACGACGACGGCAGCAAGTACGTGGGGCAGTTTGAGGAAGGAGAAGCGCAGGGGGAAGGAGAGCTGATCTCCTCTCAAGGAATCACGATCTTCTCGGGAAGGTTCGAGCGAGGAGCACCAGCAGGAGCTGCGGTGAAGGAATGGAGGGCCCCCGCGTGAGAAGGGGGAGGAGCGAGGGGGGAGGAGCATATAAGAACCTTTAGAATCGACTGCCACGGCACATATCTGATATGTTAAACTTGTTCATCCTCTACTGGCCCTCACCGGCTTCCTCCTCGTCCTCTTGCAGCTCCTTCCTCTCCAGCCGCTCGTTGTCGTAGTCCTCGATGAACTGCCGGATGTTCTCCGTGCTCAGGTCGTCCCCATCGAACACGTAGTACGCCCCCGAGTCGGGAATGTCGAGGATCACCAGCTGGGGGGTGCTGGTCGGCTCGTTGAGCTCGCAGGAGAGGCGCAGCTGGTAAACGACGTCGCTCGTCTCCGTGGCAGTGAAGAAGAGCATTCCAGCTTCGCACCCGCTCATCTTGGCAGCGCAGAAGGCCTCCTCCGCCACAGGCAGCATTGCCTCCGCCATCGCTGCCTTGGTCGCCTCGTCGCAGCCTTCGCAGAGGAGGACGCACGTGACGGTATCGTTCATCTCTCCTAGGATCTCAGGCTCGAGCGTGGAGAGGTCGTAGAGGGGCTTCGGGGTCCAGGGGAAGCAATCTCCGTCCGTGTCCTTGTTGACGATCTCGACGCCCTCGGTCGTCACGACGTTGCCGTCTGGGTCGATGACGACCATGGAAGGAACTTTCTCGATGCGGAACGCCTCTCCGAGCTTCTGCTTCGCCTCGTGGGCTGTTTGTGGCATGCACAGCCATGGCACGTTCGGAGAGAAATCCTGCAGAAGCGTCAACCCTTGGCTCTCCTCCTCCTTCCCCTCACCATGTCGATCACTTCGAACGCCTTGCCCTGCTCCTTGAGCTTCTCGTACATGTAGTCCAGCATCTGATGGAACCTGGCAGGCGCAACGTCACGCGCTCCTTCTCGGGAACGGATCTCTCACCCCTTGCACTGGTAATGCCAACCCATCGAGAACAAGATGCCGACGTGCTTGCCGTCCAGCTCCTTGACTGAGACCTGAGACCCATCGCCCTTGACAAACACGTCTCCCAGCATCTCCTTCACGTTGGTATTCCTCTTCTCAGCCCATGGAAACCTGCGCTAGGACTTAGAACGACATCGGGGGGTTGGCCCGCGCCAGCAGCTCACTGGTCAGCGAAAGAGTCGCCGTCGGCATCCTCGACGATGTGGGTGACGGCAGGAGTGATGTCCCGGTGAACCGTCGAGCCGTTGCTGTCCAGCAGCACCAGCATGGGGATCTGTCGCACTTGAAACCTGCGGGTGAGCTTCTTGTGCACCGACTTCCTGTGGAGAGGCACAGCAAGCCAGGACGCCATGGCCAGCAGCTCCTTGTACGCCTCCTTGTCTTCTTCTGGACGGCCGGGGACGGTGGCAGGCACGTACACCAACTCGAACGACTTTCCCTTCTCCTCGATGAGCTTCTTGTAGACTTGTTGCAGCGGCTGCATGAACTGCTTGCAGGAGCCCGACCACGACGCGCCAAACAGAATTCCGACATACTGCTTCCCCTCCAGGACGTGCTTGGTTCCAACCTCGTTGCCAGGTTCGTTCCTGCACAAAGTGTCGCCGAAGAGCTTGTTGAAGGAGACGTTCTGAGAGGAAGGGAGTCAGCAAACCTACTCTGCTCAACAGAAGCCTCACCATCTTATCGGCCATATTTCAACCTCTGTGGTTACCTGCGCAAAAAGTAGGTCAACCATGGACATCTTTCAAGTGCCAAGGAGCAGCATTGGCAACGTGATCATGAGAATGAACAAGGTTGAAGGACACGAAGTCACAGACTCAGTTACATCCAGAGAAAGCTCGCAAACTTTGAGGACACGGAGGTAGGCAGGCTGGACTAAAAGTCTAGGGATTGAGACACAGGGAAGTTCCGGCAGAGACGAATCGGCAGGTGGACATTACAGGGATCCAACAAATCAAAGTCAGACAGGGGAAAGACGTACAAGACATGGGGAAGACTCAACGGGCAGAGGAACGAGCGAGGAATGTCGCACACACGAGCGGCATGAGCCAACGGATCGATGCTGGGAGCAGCAAGAGCGAGGGGACGGGAGCATGGAAGGAGGAGGATGAGAGGAAAGGAGGAGAGGATGAGATGGATGTGTTCATGGTGGGAGGAGGCGGAGGAGGGAGGGAGGGAGGGAGAGGAGAACGCATGGGAGAGGCTGCTGCTGAGGAGGCAGTCGGTTGATGTGGGAGGAGAGGCGCAGATAACACCAGGAGGAGGTGGGGTGAATCCCCTGGAGGGTAGTCGATGAAATGTTACCTTTGTAGGGGGTAGGGGTACACAACGCCTCGTATTTGCCCGGTACTCTGGAGAGAGAGTCTTAACAGAGGGGGGGAAAGATCAATATTTTCATATATGAGACAATAAGTAAAAGAAGAAAAGAGTGGTGCCTGATGTT